AATGTGGAAGATATCCATTGTATATTTATACCATCAAAAGGTCTATCAAATATTGGTGTAAAATATTGAAAATGTCAAATGAGCGATATGTAAAGAAATGTTATAACATGCTTGTACAAATGGAAAGTAATGGTTGCAGGAGCTGGGCATCTAGGATAAAGCATATATTAGAAGTCTATGGATTTGGATTTGTTTGGCAAGAACAGATGGTTCGAAGTGAAACGCTATTTTTAAAGGAATTTCTTGGTAGACTCAAAGTTTCGTATCAACAGGACTGGCATTCTGCACTAATAAAAGGCACAAAAACATTTGGATACACGTTGTTTAAACCTATGTTCGGTGTTGAATCTTATATCTTCATAGTTAGCTATTTTAAACATAGATGTGCGCTTGCTCAGTTTAGATCGGGGTCTCATAAACTACGAATAGAAACTGGCAGATATATTGGTGAGGCTAGAAATGACAGATTATGTAATATCTGTAAATTGCCATATATAGAAGATGAATATCACTTCTTACTTATTTGTAATAAATATCAAGTATTGCGGCGACTGTATATACCTTTACACTTTTATGAATATCCAACAATCCAAAAATTTAATACGCTTCTGCAATCATCAAATGCAAGCATCTTAAAACATTTATCGGCATATATATATCAAGCTATGTTACTGAGACAGTCCTCATTATAACATATTTTCTCACTCTATAATTCTCAAAGTGTAACCTGGGCCTATGGCCTATATTACTTTTCTGAAATAAACCACCTTAATATATATAAATATTATCCGACACAAATATGTAGCTATATTATATATAATATGTGTAAATATATAGGTATAATCCAACAGAAATATGTAGTTATATTCTATATAATATGTATAAATATATAGGTATAATCCAACACAAATGTGTAGCTATATTATATATAATATGTATAAATATATAGCTATAATCCAACACAAATGTGTAGCTATATTATATATAATATGTATAAATATATAGGTATAATCCAACACAAATGTGTAGCTATATAATATATAATATGTATAAATATATAGGTATAATCCAACACAAAGGACCCGTGAAGATCCGGAGTAGAATTGGTCTTCGGGGTGGTGGGGTAGCCTAGTGGTTAAAGCGTTCGCTCGTCACGCCGAAGGCCCGGGCTCGATTCCCAACATGGGTACAATGTGTGAAGCCCATTTCTGGTGTCACCCGTCGTCATATTGCTGGAATATTGCTAAACCGATTTAAGACTAAACACAGTCAGTCAGTAAGTATTTTTGAAATATGACCACTATAATTTTGGATTAAATACAGTGATTTTAGGGCTATGACAACACTTTCATTACTATGTAAAGTATGAATGTATGTGTTCAACACACATATGTATCTAAATAATGACTTTGCTGTCAGTACAAATAATAAACACATGAACATTAACATGGCGCTGGTGTGTTTCAGCACCCTTGATTTTCTCTATATTTGACAATGTCTCATTTCATTCAAACTCAACGAATATTGAATCAGTTGCTTCACTGCATGTTCTAACATGTCGTTTAAAGTGCCCATTAAGTACACAAAAAGTTGCACTTTACCTTCGAGTATAAATGACCTCACCACGTTTAAGTTGATATATCACTGTCAAATATGAGGGTGTTCCCATACTTTTGTTTGTAGTATATATACGTGCAATTATCACGACGCTAAACCTCATTTCATCTCGTCTCACATGCCAGATATCAGTGTAGCATAAAGCTGTTGAAAGAATAAATGCAATCTGTTGCCATAGTCTTATACTTTATCAAAAATACTTAACATGATTTTGGATTCACATAAAACAATATGTTTTGAAAGATACATTTGACGTTGCCCGTTAAGGAAAGAATTTCCAATACACAAAGGGTGATAATATATAAAGAATGACAAGATATGAGAACATATCAAAGAGAAAAACAATTTTAACTTCAAAATATTCATTTACATACATTCGGAAACAAAAGCGGTAGTATCTGATTTGCATCAGTTACAAACTAACGTTGATCATTAGGTTGAAGAGAAAAAATAATTCAGTTTCTGGGTACTGTTCGTTGTTTGCAACCACAACTCAACAGCACAGGTGACGTCGGTCTGTACATGAGAACAATACAGCTGCTTTCTCCCTTAACACGTTTCCCAATCATGACCTTCACACGTTCCCCCATCATGACCTTCACACGTTCCCCATCATGACCTTCACACGTTCCCCATCATGAGACATTCATCACGTTTCCCCCATCATGACCTTCACACGTTCCCCATCATGACCTTAACACGTTCCCCATCATGACCTTCACACGTTTCCCCATCATGACCTTCTACACGTTCCCCCATCATGACCTTCACACGTTCCCCCATCATGACCTTCACACGTTCCCCCATCATGACCTTTACACGTTCTCCCATCATGACCTTCGAACGTTCCCCATCATGACCTTCACACGTTCCCCATCATGACCTTAACACGTTCCCCATCATGACCTTTTTACACGTTTCCCCATCATGACTTTTACACGTTCTCCCATCATGACCTTCAACGTTCCCCATCATGACCTTCACACGTTCCCCATCATGACCTTAACACGTTCCCCATCATGACCTTTACACGTTCCCCATCATGACCTTTCACACGTTCCCCATCATGACCTTAACACGTTCCCCATCATGACCTTCACCTTCCACACGTTCCTTAACACGTTCCCCATCATGACATTCACACGTTCCCCATCATGACCTTCACACGTTCCCCATCATGACCTTAACACGTTCCCCATCATGACCTTTTACGTTCCCCATCATGACCTTTACATGTTCTCCCATCATGACCATCGCACGTTCCCCATCATGACCTTCACACGTTCCCCATCATGACCTTAACACGTTCCCCATCATGACCTTTACACGTTCCCCATCATGACCTTTACGTTCTCCCATCATGACCTTCGCACGTTCCCCCATCATGACCTAAACACGTTCCCCATCATGACCTTCACACGTTCCCCCATCATGACCTTAACACGTTCCCCCATCATGACCTTAACACGTTCCCCATCATGACCTTTACACGTTCTCCCATCATGACCTTCACACGTTCCCCATCATGACCTTAACACGTTCCCCCATGACCTTCACACGTTCCCCCATCATGACCTTAACACGTTCCCCCATCATGACCTTTACACGTTTCCCCATCATGACCTTTACACGTTCTCCCATCATGACCTTCGCACGTTCCCCCATCATGACCTTCACACGTTCCCCCATCATGACCTTCACACGTTCCCCCATCATGACCTTTACACGTCCTCCCATCATGACCTTCACACGTTCCCCATCATGACATTCACACGTTCCCCATATCATGACCATCACACGTTCCCATCATGTTTACTTCTCCCATCATGACCTTCACACGTTCCCCCATCATGACATTCACACGTTCCCCTATCATGACCTTAACACGTTCCCCATCATGACCTTCACACGTTCTCCCATCATGACCTTCACACGTTCCCCCATCATGACCTTCACACGTTCCCCATCATGACCTTAACACGTTCCCCATCATGACCTTTACGTTCTCCCATCATGACCTTCACACGTTCCCCATCATGACCTTAACACGTTCCCCCATCATGACCTTCACACGTTCCCCATCATGACCTTTTGCACACGTTCCCCATCATGACCTTTTAACACGTTTCCCCATCATGACCTTTACACGTTCTCCCATCATGACCTTCGCACGTTCCCCATCATGACCTTCACACGTTCCCCATCATGACCTTCACACGTTCCCCATCATGACCTTCACACGTTCCCCATCATGACCTTTTACACGTTCTCCCATCATGACCTTCACACGTTCCCCATCATGACCTTCACACGTTCCCCCATCATGACCATCACACGTTTCCCCATCATGACCTTTACACGTTCTCCCATCATGACCTTCACACGTTCCCCCATCATGACATTCACACGTTCCCCTATCATGACCATCACACGTTTCCCCATCATGACCTTCACACGTTCTCCCATCATGACCTTTCACACGTTCCCCATCATGACCTTCACGTTCCCCATCATGACCTTCACACGTTCCCCATCATGACCTTCACACGTTCCCCATCATGACCTTCACACGTTCCCCATCATGACCTTCACACGTTCCCCATCATGACCTTTCACACGTTCCCCATCATGACCTTCACGTTCCCCATCATGACCTTCACACACGTTCCCCATCATGACTTCACACGTTCCCCATCATGACCTTCACACGTTCCCATCCACACGTTCTCCATGACCTTCACACGTTCCCCCATCATGACCTTCACACGTTCTCCCATCATGACCTTCACACGTTCTCCCATCATGACCTTCACACGTTCTCCAATCATGACCTTCACACGTTCTCCAATCATGACCTCACACGTTCCCCTATCATGACCTTCACACGTTCTCCCATCATGACCTTCACACGTTCTCCAATCATGACCATCACACGTTCCCCCACCATGACCTTCACACGTTCTCCAATCATGACCTTCACACGTTCTCCCATCATGACCTTCACACGTTCTCCCATCGTGACCTTCACACGTTCTCCCATCATGACCTTCACACGTTCTCCAATCATGACCTTCACACGTTATCCAATCATGACCTTCACACGTTCTCCATCATTTCAACCAGCCCTAGGTGATGGCATGTTCTTTATACTTAAAGTCACCCGTCACTATGCACGTATCCTCCAGTCTCCATAGTATATATGGCGGAATATCTCCCCAGTGGTAGTGTTCCAGGTTTTTATATCTGTGGCATTATGTTCAGGGTGGTGAAACCGAATCCACAAATGGACAGCATAATTTTTAGTCCGCCAGTCATACAGACGCCCTTCGTTGTACAACAAGGGCAGCTCGCGCCAGTTAGGACGATGCATAGATGTAGCTTCTGTGTGTATAAGATTTGGGTATCTCTTAGCCAAAATCGCCGGAAGTTTAACCGAGTGGTAAGCCCAGTTACTATCGTCAAATGTTTTATACTCTTTATGCCATATCCTAAAAAATTCAGCCCAAGCTTTTCCTATCATTATTCCATTGCAAAGACCATCTGGGTTTCATACCCCATCGTTACGTCATAGTTAAGCAGAGGGCCTAACGGTTTCAGGACCATAGCATCCAGGTCGAAGTAGAACCCACCATATTCCATAACCGCTTCCAGGCGAACCACATCGGTCAGGTGCTCAGCAACTTTAACTCTTCTACCACGGATTTCAGAAGGCGCTGCTCGATACACAAGTGTGAGTTCTGGCACTTTTTCTTTAACTTCTGTCCAATAAGGGCCTTCTGGAACCATGTCATGCCAAAACAGGACCTTCTCAGGTTTGATGAACTTATGAGCAGCTAGAACAGACAGTAGGTGATGGAACCGGAACATGTTACCTTTAGCTTTACCTCCGTACCAGGTAAAGTGAGAAATACTTGGAACAATCCTTTCATTGTGGCTAATATTCAGCTTTAGGTCCACATTAGATTCTACCCTACTCATAAAATCCGGAAGGCGTATGTATTTGTACACCTTCTCCGAATCTTTGTCTTTGCACAAATTACCGTAAATGCATAGTTTTCCTTTTGTAGGAAGGGGTGTCATTTTCCAGTCTCCGTAATAGACATATCTAAATATCTCACCGGCAGAAGTGTTCCAGAATTTGATATCCTGGGGGTTGTGTTCACTTTTATGAAATTGTATCCCGAGGTGAACAGCGTAATATTTTTCCCTCCAGTTAAACAGCTTTCCTTCCAAAAACAAAGCATCCTCTTCAGAATGGTCAGGTCGATGCAAGGACGTTTTGTCTATGTGAATCAGGTTGGGATGTTCTTTGGCTACATGTGCTGACATACTTACGAAATGGGAAGTCCCGTTTTTGTCATCGAAAGTCTTGAATTCTCTGTGCCAAATCTTCAGGAAATCGGCATAGGGTTTCCCTATTATTATTCCATTGCATAAACCATCTGGATGGTCACCCATCACCACGTCATATTTCAACAAGGGGTCCAAGGGTCTGAGAACAATGGCATCAAGGTCTAAATACACACCACCATATTCTAGCACGGCTTCTAAGCCCACAACATGTGCCATATGCTCTGGAACTGATATTTTTCTGCCACGTATTTCAGACGGCGCTTTGCGGTACACAGGTACAACTTCCGGAACTTTCAGAAGCAATTCCTTCCAATAATTTCCACTTGGAACCAAATCGTGCCAGAACAGTATGTGATCCGGTTTGATAAATCTGTGAGCTGCTAGAAAAGCAATAAGTTGATGAAACCGAAAGTCATTACCATTCTTTAATCCGCCATACCATGTAAAATGAACAATATTTGGGATGACTTTCTCTTGATGGTCAATGTTCCGTTTTATATCCACAGTGGAATCGATATTTTTGAGAAAATCGTTCTCCCTCTCATAGGTATAAACTGTCGAGCTGTCATTCGTCCTGCAAATGTTGTTAAGAATACACGATTTCTTTAGGACATTGTTCGTGGGATTGACGTGTTGCCCTAGCAACTGCAGTTTCCAGTCGCCATAGTAGACCCACCTGAACATTTCTCCAACAGTAGTGTTCCAAGTTTTGATATCGGTAGGATTATGTTCCGTTTTATGCATCCGAATCCACAAATGGCAGGCGTAATTATTTTTCTTCCAATCATAAAGCTTCCCAACACCATATAACTTGTCAAGCTCCATCCAGTTGGGTCTGTGAAGAGATGTGGCCTCTGTGTGCACCAGGTTGGGGTACAGTTTCGCCAGCCTCCCGGGAGTTCTCACAGAATGGAAGTTCCATTGATTATCCTGAAAAGACTTATATTCCTTATGCCAGATCTTGAAAAACTCGGCCCACGCCGTACCAATTATTATGCCATTACACAAACCCCCCCTGGCGTCTCGTATCCCATGGCAACGTCAAATTTAAGGAGGGGATCTAGGGGCTTGAGTATCATGACATCTAAATCAAAATACAAACCCCCGAATTCCATCACTGCCTCGAGTCTAACCACGTCTGTAATATGTTCCGCAACTTGGACTCTCCGGCCTCGAATTTCCGTCGGTTCTTTCCGGAAAACAAGGCACAATTCCGGAACCTTCGCTTTCAACTCTTTCCAGTAATCTCCGGTCGGAACCATATCGTGCCAGAAATAGATCTTGCTGGGTTTGATGAATTTATGGGCTGACAAAACAGCGAGCATGTGGTGGAACCGGAAGTTATTTCCTCTCTTTTTAACCCTCCGTACCACGTGTAATGAACGACTCGAGGAACTACTTCACTCTTGTGGGTGATGTTTTTCTTGTAGTCAACACGTTCGATGAGATCGTAGAAATTAGCATGTCGTACGTAGGTATAGACTTTCCCCTCGGTGCTGTTTTTGCATATGTTCTCCTCAAGACAGTACAATCCGTGCGCCGTTGCTCGATGGAGTATCCGGATTTGGTTTCGTGGGTAATTCGGTTTTACAGCATTGGATTTGACAGCGTATTTGGGTGCGATGACGTTGTATACAACCAACAGACAAACGCAGGAAAACACCAAAGCAACGAACCACGATCTGGTGATTTTCATACTGGGTTATGTACTGTGGAGTCGTCAGCTCTAGGTTTATGCTTCTTATTAAACTGCGGTAAGACAATCTTCACGTTGCTCGGCAACACCTGAAAAATCGATAGCAGATGATATGAATTTGAAAAATTAATGTGCTTTAAGGTTAGTGTTACTGATACTGTAGGAAGAATGTGCATATATTATTAACAACCGCCACATATGTTCATACTGTGTAAAGTAGCAACAAAACTACAGCACCAAACATAAACTTCAGTGTCACTAGACGTGGCAAGTGATGAGACATATAAAGCGATGTTCATCGAGATCAAGCTGCTTGTAATTTTTAAAATGGATTGATAACAAAATTTACTTGTAAATGAGTTTTACGTCGCTTTTAGCAATATCCCAGCAAAATAATGGCGGATAGTATATAATAGCATATAATAGTATTTAAGGGTCACCTTGGAAACGTAATTGACCAGTCATGCTTTTTCAGCCTGGGTAATCACATACTGTCCATGGTGTGGAACACAATATACCAGGTTCATTTATAAGTTATTGAAAGGACCATCAGGCTACCCCACAGCCCCGTATTATGAGAAACGTTGAAAAGTCAGAATGATAAAATCACTAGAGAGCTAGATGTTTGTTTTGCCTCTCAGTTTTCACCTTTGAACACCAGTTAACAATGGCTCCACGAATCACGACCTTTTTCAGCTCACTTAATCAAATGTAAGTCCCATTATAAGCTGGACTGCATTATTATGATCGAGTGTTCCACGTAGCCTTGGTAAATCACATACACCTGTTCAGCTGGCATTAGTTTGGCTGAAGAGGTTGCTGTCACCACGGGTACTACATATGCACCTGAGACCGTTCTGTGTAGAGAATTCTACCCTTAACAAAGTCAAAATACAGAAACATACCCGGTAATCCGCAACGTAAACCGAAACCGTATACATGTAGTATACAAATGATTGCGAGTGTCCCAGAGGTACAGATGAGCTGTACATATCTGCGTGAATTACGTTTGACTTCATTTGAGACCGATGAATTGCTCACAAACACAAAATCTAATAAATGCAACAAAATCAAACTTTGCCCAGTCACATGAAATCGACAGACCAACTCTGATGATTTTGTCTCATAATTTTGGACACCTTAATAAAATAGTAGTTTAACAAACAATCATTATTTTGTTGTCACTTTTCGCTGTTTCTTACGAGGGAGGACCACTTGCTGGTAGAACAGCCAGGTGTGCGAGTTGTGCGTGTGAAATTGAAATTTCACTGCACACGCTTATTGATTACCTGGCTGTTAAGTTACAGAATCTAAAATACAATATATAGCCAGTTAAAATGTGTAAGCCACCATAATGGTTAAGAGAGACGTTGAAAGCATTTGAGTCTATGACATCACAAACCATGTTTAAAAAATGAATAAATATATCATAAAGGGGAACCTTTCACACCATAACAACTTAAAATCAAATCTAGAGCTAATAACAAATAACAGGTTCTATTGCAACACATGAACTTTGCACCTTGCAGTCTTTCTTATCGTTTCTCATATTACAGATCACATACAAATACAAATCACGTAAACCAACTTGATTATAGTTCTACAGTTAATGAAAAAACGGCAAAATACCCAGCTGAGTTTGTGTGTGGGGGGTGGGGTGATTACAATTTATTCAGTTACTCAAGGCAAAGGATGCCCAATCGAGATGAACACAAGCGAGTACATAACTCAATGACCCAAAATGTTATTTGTAGCTCTATATCTGGAGTGGTAGATCTGTTATGCATCGCGAAGTATTCTGCGTACATGCTCTTTTCATATATTACGCAAACGCATCTAATACAACACGTACAGTATGACAGGTCCGATCAAGAAGAAGTACATTGCGGAATGGAATCGTCCTGAGGTACGCTTCTGTATTCTGATTTTGGCTCGGGTACGTTTCAGTATACAGAGGGTAAAGATGATAAAACGTCGTTCGAACCTTGACTCTATGTAGTGAAAGTAATGTATTACTCTTTAACTCTTTATTTTATTTATTTCTTCTGCAGTTTCAGCATCGCGCTTGATGTTACGATTGAAACCATCTAACACATTGAACCGTTAGAAAAAAAATAAACTTGAAAACTGAATTTGACATAACATAACAAATACTGTCGAAGAATTACTAGGTTAAAACAGGCGCCGAATCACTGCAGACGTAACGTCAAAAATATTATTATGATATGGATACACAATGTCAACTAGATAAGCCCACTTTTAGATCATAGGGGTGACACTAGTTTATCATTGCGTAATCAACAGTCAACAGACCAGGAAATGTTGCGTAAACCCAAACATGACATGTGTTACATGATTATGATGCACGTATTAAATACATCGCAATTGAATAGTCATGTTTGTTTGTTTCATTTTACGCCATATATAAAAATATTCTTGCTTCTCATTACAGAAATATTCGACCCGACTTTAAGATTTGTTTAAGTCATTACAATAGAGATAATGCAACTTTGAATCTCAAAATGTGCATGAATTTTTCACACTTCTAAGTTTTGATTCTCTGTAGGAGCAAAAGTGTAAATTTCCACAGAAATGAAGGGGTTTTGGACATAAATTAAAATGTAAAAATAAAATCCGCCCGCCCGACCCATATTTTTTTTAAGAGGTGATGAGAAACAAGTATATATTTAATGTGGCCTTAATCAAATATCGGAGTATATACTTTCTCATGCCGGCAGTGGATTTCAGGGTCAGTAGCCGTTGTTTAACAAAGGCATATACGTCAAACAAACAGAGTTCACTGGGAAAAAAATCCACATTTACAAGCTTGGAAATGTCTTGGAAAGATATAGTGCTATAGTGGCACTGGGGCGGCATGAGTGTTTCATGGGGGCGTTAAGGCGACTGGCGGTAGTCTTTGATGTTTGGTGTTGTTTTAGTAATGATTGTTTAACGGATTAACGAAAGGATTATCGACTTGACTAGTCGAAATTGCAGTGGTGAACACATTTTAAATGTTCAATGTTTTGGGTGAAAAGTGAATTTTGTCACGTTTAGTTTAAGTATGTGTCATCATAAGCTTATATTTAGTGAGTTAGAGTTAATTTCGTACAAGGGCCACCGACCCGTTATACAATTATAAAGATGACAATACAATCCAGCGCCATATATAATATTAAGCTGTATGCTAACATGTACAATGTCTCATTTAATCTTATACTCTATATTCAAAAACTTCGCTCTTTTTGTCAATGCAAGAAATATAAACTTAGCAAGATTGTTAACAGTTGTAGAATTGCAAGACAATAATAAGTTGATAAATTTAGTTTCACATGGATTATTTATGTAGTATTGTGGGAGCAGGCTGTTTCTCAGATCACAGTAAAATGAACATTCAATAAAGAATTGGTACTCTGATTCAATGGTAAGTACAATACACAGAGGGCAGAATCGCTCATGTTGTTTTATATTTACTTTTCGCCCATATTCCAACATTAAAGGATGGTCTGAACAACGAAACTTACTCAAAGCAAAACGAATCGTTGCGTTGCCGTCAATCGTTGAGTTGCCCTCCTAGGGGATCGAGTGATGGTGTCACCATGCACTAATTTCCACCGGACCCCGTAGTTCGTGCTAAATGGGTTATGTTTGTGAGTGCGAAGCGAGCGTTGTGGAAGCTTGGAACGATATCTTAAATGTGTTCAGATCGCTTCGCGGAAGTTAAAGAATCAAAACTACTTACTAGTTGTAGTACAATATGTACATGATTGATGACCAAAACGATTTTCCATGACACAACTTGAAGCATAACGATTTCTTTCTCGGAAGCGAGGTTGTGGTGGAAGTGACAATAATATATACAAAATATATTCACTTTGATAAAAAAAGTTGATTTTCATGTAAAATTTTGATTTCATAGTAATGTTGACTTTTTAAAAATGTTATTGTGTTGGTGGTTTTTATTTTTATTTGGGTGGCATTTGTCCGGGTGGCTTTTGTTCGGGTGTCATTTGTCCTAGGCCCGCTCGGAGGCTAGGCAAAGCAGGTGACAAAGTTAAATGACAGCAGATTGTGAGAACATATAGCTTTCATTTTTCACAACAGTTGTCACGATTTCTGTTCCTGCTGAGCTGTAGGCTCGTTCGATATCTCGCGATGTCATTATCGCGATAATGCACCGAGGAGATCATCAAAGGAGTGGATTGCTTAAAGGTCACATGCAACAAAAAAAAATCAAACATAATAAAAACACAGTTATCACTTATTTATGACATATAATATACATTGCTGGTTATGAAAAAACATATAAACAAAATTAAAAGCGTACAATCGCAAATCAAAAGTGTAATATTTTGTACTTGGGTTTACTTCCCTAGAAACGAAGCAGCCGGGATACCGAACCCAGTCAGAGCGGGTGGGTGTGCACTCAAGTGTAACGGCTGGTTCATTTGCAGATGCCCCCACGGCTCATTGTGTGTGTATATATAGAGATGTTAGGTTTTGTAAATACGGTGTCGTACCGGGAAGGCTAAAATGTATTTTTCAGATGTCCCGGGAAGGCTAAAATGTATATTTCGGATTTCCCGGGAGAGAGCTAATTAGGGGAGTACCGCCAAAGCTAAAGATACGGTGCCGGGAAGCATAATCCATGCCGGGAGTAGATACATTTCTTTTCAAAACATTGTTATAATAGAGTATTTATCAGAACAGAATAGAACATAGAATTTATTAAGACTTGAACCAGTCTTCTATTCGATTAAGATTTAAAGATAAACAATGGACACATATTATTTCTTCCCTAGGTACATTATGGTATCTTCCAACTTCAATATGTAGCAGGCATCTTTATCTTCTTCGCTTGTTTAGACCTGTATTTAAGTGGCGTTTTAATTTCAGATGTATTTAATTCGAAAAACATTGCTATAATATTTAAGTTGCAAACTGACACCAATGCAATGATTTGATACTTCCTAAGAAATTGTCAAAGTTTCCGTGCAGCGTGACGCCATAACAGATGCAAAATCACGCAGAACGACAACGGTAATTATCAGCATTTCTGGCTTCTTCTCTTACTTACAAAGAAAACATATAACAATACACAGATAGTCAGAGTCACTCTGATTACTTACATTTCATATTTATGTACAAACGATCCCTGAAGCAAGGGAAGAGTCCTCGCAAAATCCTGTGTACCCTTGTCATCGGTTGTGATGTGGTTTAAACATATTTTTATTTCGTCAATGCAGAAATCTGGATAGGCGAACAAGCCTAGTGGCTTATATAAACGCCGCTCCAGTACACGGTTCCAATATAGCTGGATACATATTTGAAATAGACGGACAAGAAAAGAATTATATTGAGACAAGATTACACTCAGAAAAATGATTGAATAATAAATATGTGGTTATGGTGTTGGTTATGCCTAGCAACGAAAAGAGCTGCCGCAGAAAATCAAGTTATATAGATCTTTTCTTGCATTGAATATACATGTATATGTAGAGATGATAATCACTGGAAGCGCTTACTTTTAGAAATAAACTGGTGTAATGAGTTGAGAATGTCACAATTTGTTGAGTTATCCAATGCGTCGTTACCGTATAAGGTAGTTTCACATCGTATCCTTGAATATAAAAATACACCGTTGTTCTTAAATTTTGATAGTTCCGACATGTAAAAGGTAGTGAATGACGTCTTCGTTATAATGACCACATGAACACTTAGCTGTTTCTGATATATGTCGATTATATCTGTCTGCGTTCAGATCACTACAGCCGAGCTTGAGGCGACAATGGATGATTTGACAAAATCTAGTCCCAAAATTTAAATCAAAGTAGTTGTCAGTTTCTGCTGGATTTATCATGGTTTTAAACTGCCTCACAGAAATAGCGTTAACAGCTCCATCGGGCAATGAATTCCACGACATAATCGCGCTCGGTAAGAATGATTGTGAATATCTTTGTGTTCTACAGTTAATAGTTTGAATGGAAGTACTATCTCTAAGATTATAGTTGCTTTGTTGAAATACTCTACCTGGTACAAGATCATTCAGATAATCAGGAATCAGACGATGATACATTTTATAGAAAGTTATAAGTTTAGAGCGATATCGTCTTTGTTTCAGTGTGCTGTAATTGGTTTCCTTGTATATTTTATCATGACTGGTGCCACGAACCGCACCGCATATAGTTCTTAATGCGTCTAAGTGTAAAATTTTCCAGTAAAATCGCCTGTTCAATCGTACAATTATCCCATATATGACCGCAGTAATCAAAAAGTGGTAAGATAAAGGAGTTATATAAAGTATTTAGCGTTTTCCGAGATAAACGATATTTCAAACTTCTCAGACAATTGATCATTGGACTTATTTTCTTTACCATGTCACCTATATGAACTTTCCAAGAACAATCGCTTTGAAGTGTTATACCTAAGTGTTTATGGTTATCAACTTCTTTAATAGTCTCGCCATTCATTAGCAAGTTCGGCCTGGCATAATTTTCGTTTTACGAGTGAATGTTATACTCTCAGTCTTACTAGGATTAAAACTTACCTGCCACTTTCTGGCCCAGTCTGAAATTTTTGCCAAATAATTGTTTATAATTGCGGCTGCTGTAATATGATCATCTATTATAGCATATATTGATGTATCATCAGCAAAAAGGCGAATGTTACTGTCTATACCATCTACAATGTCATTAATATAAATGATAAACAGAAGTGGTCCTAATACGGAACCCTGCGGTACACCAGCTTCCACAGATTTGATACCTGAACTATATCCATTTATTACCACTTTCTGCATTCTACTATCTAAATAACTTACAAACCACTCCAAAGTTCTCCTGTATACCATAAGCATAAAGTTTATGAATAATACCTTTGTGCCAAACTTTGTCAAAGGCTTTACTTACATCGCAGAATACCGCTCTGATTTCCTTTTCCTTGGTCTACGGCACTTGCGATAAAATTATAGAGATAAGTTAGTTGATTTACTGTAGAATCACCAGGCATAAATCCAGATTGTAAGTTTGATAAAATATTGTTATCCCTGAGGAAGTTGAAGACGTATTTAAAAATGCATTTTTCAAAAACTTTAGCGACACAGCTTGTTTACGCTACAGGTCTATAGTTTGAGCAATCGTGTTCATCACCTTTCTTATAAAGCGGAATCACCGAAGCTAGTTTCCAAGAAGTAGGATACGTTTTATTACGAAGGAGATGTTGAACAACAGCTAACAACGGGGTTAAAGAGGTTGCAGTTAGTTTCAGTATGATGTTTCCAATGCCATCAGGCCCCGTGGCTTTCGATGTATCTAGACTCAGAAGAATATCGCGAACATCTACATTACTTATTGTGATAGATGACATAGGATGATCGATTTCACGCGGTGCGAAATCAGTCGGATCGGCGTTAGGGTCAGCAACTTGGGATTGTTCTGAGAAAAATGAGTTGAGTACATCAGCAATATCTTGTTCATTGTCATAAACTATGTTATTGCTGACAATTGATGGAAAGGACGATTTTATCGAATTTGTTTTAACATAATTCTTAACTAATCGCCACCACATTTTAGTACCATGAGTGTTATTTATAGATTCATCAACTCTTGCATCAAAAGCATGTTTTGCATTTCTAACTGTTGCTATTACTTTGTTCCGAAGTGATCTGAACTTAGTCCAATCATTAGGAAGGTTTCTGTTTTTTGCAATCTTATGAACACGATTTCGTTTTCTTATTAAGGATCGGATTTCGTTATTCATCCACGCGGGATCTTTGGTTCTAATTATTTACAGTTTTATTTGGAATATGTTCATTCATGATATTCAATAACAAGGATGTAAGGTTTTCAGTGTTATTATCTACGTTCCCCGAAGAGAAAAATATATCTGAGTTTATCTCTTTGATAGTTTCATTCATACCATTAACATCTATTGAAGAATAATCATAGATTTTCCTTTTGAATGAATTCTTGTGCTGCATCATTTCTGCTATGTTAACAAATACGGGGCAGTGATCGCTGCATATGGGATGTAATACGCCAGAATCTATGACAACGTCGACGCGAGAAACAAATATCAAATCGATCAAAGTTTTACTACTTGCGGTTATTCTAGTAGCATCCGTGATTATTTGTCGAAAGCCGTAGTAACTTTGTATAAAGTCTATCTTTTGATTATTTCCATGAAGAACGTCAATATTGAAATCTCCGGTTATAATTGTCTGCATATTAAGATCAACTGCGTTACCTATTGATTCATCGATCAAATTCCAATATTCGGAGCTCTTGTCGGCGCGATAAACAGTTCCAATCAGGTAGTTTCTTGTTTTACATTTAGTCTGTATCCATATCGCCTCAAGTCCGACTATGTCTAAATCAGACTTCAACAACGCACAAATAGTATCTTTTACATAGACTGCTACACCGCCACCGCGAGTTTGTCTGTCTTTACGGAAAGGTAGATGGAAGCCAGGAATTTTTATATCAATGTTATTTGTATGGGAAGTTAACCAAGTTTCGGTTAGACATATCACATCATAACATCCAAGTTCAACTCTTAAAATATCTAATTTCTCCTTAAGACTACGTACATTTAGATGGACTATCCTTAAAGCATTTGTGCATTTAGGTCCTGGATTAGGATGAATATCTCCACAGCACAGTAACAAAAGTGAAATCATTATGGAAACACAACTGCCATACAGACAACGAAATTTGAATAGATGTTGATAAAGAGCAAATTTACCTGAGTGTTTAGAATGAAGTGCTGCAGCAAATGTACCCACTGCCTGTCTATACTGTGATATTTCAACCGACATCGAAAATTAGAATCTGGTGACAAATATAGTAGACAGTGGGTCTTGAGGATGCAAAACTGCATAGGCACACACCAACATCATAACTTAATGATATAATACGTAAACAAAACAAGGGCATTCTTTTCTTGTCACATTCATAACAGAAATAATCAAACAAACAGAAGAGGAAAGGGTAAAAAAGGAAAGACAAAAACATTTGTCTAGTTAGTGAAAGGAAAATTCGAGAAAATTTCTTATATATAATGTTTTCAAATTGCCTATAAATGAAAGTGATATCAATTGCCCAAAATATCTACATCAAAACATAGTTAACAGTAGTGGGAAGATTTGTATCCGTGTCGACGCGTATGTGCATGTGCGAGAACACGATGTGGGCGCTTAGCACGAGAATGTGTGCGTGCGTGTGTGTGTTAAGGATGCATGTTCAGGGCACAACCAAGACGGACTGGATACCTGTGCGATAAGATGCATGGTGTTGTGAAACAACGTGAGTACTGCTGTTTGTTACATATCCTATTCTATATAGACAATACTTTACCACAGACGGAAATAAAAAGGGTACTATAAGAAATGTATAATAATGATTTGTATTGTACAGTAGTTGAGTCAAGTGTTAATTGACACAAATAGCTTATTGTGCACATTGTAGAAATGCAAACTATCATAAATGTATTGAACGTATCATGATCACTCATGAGTATGTTATTCAGATCATGGTGACCTCTTATGTCTTTTATCAGATCAAAACATAGCGTCCATGTGCTTTAAAAATGAAGCCGTAAACGTGTCAATTTCATTTAAGCGAGTGTTTAACGGGTTGCGAATTAAACACACACACACACATACACATAAACATATATATATATATACACACACACATACACCCGTGACCATACACACACAAACATATATACATGTATAAACATAAACATACATACAAATACACACACATACACACACACACACACACACACACACACATACACACACATATATATATATATATATATATATATATATATATATATATATATATATATATATGCATAGAAAGAGAGAGAGTTAACCTTTGATCATATTCATATAAATTACCCCAAATATCTATATCATATCATAGTTAACAGTAATGAGTTTGTATCCATGTCGACTCATGTCCATTGCAAGAGACCACGATGTGGGCGCTTAGCACGAGAATGTGTGTGTTAAGGATGCATGTTCGGGGCACGACCAAAACGGACTGGATACCTGTGCTATTAGATGCATTGTGTTGTGAAACAACGTGAGTACTGTTGTACTGTTGTTTGTTACATATCCTATTCTATATAGACATATTTAATGCTTTACCATAGACGGAAATAAAAAAGGGTAATGTACAAATGTATAATAATGATTTGGATAATACAGTAGTTGATTCAAGTGTTAATTGGCACAGATAGCTTATTGAGCACATTGTAGGAATGCAAAATACTATAAATGTATTGAACATAGCCCGATCACTCATGAGTATGTTATTCGACAACGCTGATACACACACGTGTGATGTCACACGTCAACATT